TTTATAGATCTATAAAGGATCAAGAGATGTATCATACTTGTACTATAAAGGATCAGGAAGTTGAGCTGGGCTGTATTCAAGAAACTGAATGTATGTCTTATTTTTATTTTATTTTTTAATTAGTATTCCACCATCAAAGTAGACATATCTTATATATCTGTGCATTTTATATGTATTTCTCAAAGATTTTTACTGTGATGTTTCTTGATTATCTCAAAATCTCTGCTGTCTTGTATATTTCATAAGTGTTTAACGCAGGCTTCTTATGATTTTATAAAAATGTGAATTTTATATTGACTGTCCTTTCATTTCTCAAGCATGTATTTGATTTTTCACACATACACACTTTTATGTGATTATTAATATGTCACTGTCTTGTTTTTATAAAGTAATATTTTGCATATTCCACAAATACTTTTAAATGTTTATTTAAATGTTTATTAATGTCATTATTATTATTTTTTACAATTACACATATTACATGTACCACACAGATATTTACTTCTGAAGTTCTTTCAAACTGATACAAGTATATATTTATATCCTTGACCATTTAGTTTGTGGAATTTTATCACATTTATCATTTTTCTCCATCACTTAACCAAGCCTTGCTTGATATTAGAATTTGTCTTGTATAGTACAGGATGATAAGTAATAAATCTTTTTTATAGCTTTCATTAAAAATACTCTTTCTGTAATTTTCTAAGTTGGTGTTATGTTTATTTACATCAGTGGTACGTGATACCTTCAGTAAAAACACCTTTGTCATATAAATGGTCTAATGTTACTGCAGCCAGACATCGACAAGTTGACTTCTGGTTTTCATCTATAGATATTACGTATAATTACAGTACATTTGCATGAACTTGATATTTATTGGAACTTTGTAACTGTCTTTAACAGTTTAGTTTTAATATGCACATTGACTTTAAACATGTAGTGGCTTGTAGTCCTTGTTGGTGTTTATTTCAATCAGTTTCTATAAGGTATGTTAGACTGGTGTCCCTTGAGGGTTGTAGAAATGATATTTATGGCCCTCATGCCAAAGAGGATGGGAATCACTGGCTTACACAGTTACCAGCAATATTATGTTTTCACTATAAAAGAAGTTTTAAATGTGTGATGCACATTTTGGGTAAATTGTGTAGCTCTGTTTTTTACTTATTTCACACAATTTTAATAAAATTTCTGTGAACTTCAAATGTGATTATAGACATTGTACTTTCACACAGCTTTATTCAGAATACCACAGCTACCAACTTATGTAAGTCACTACTTACTGATATAATGGTTATTGATTTTATCTTTACAGTTTAACAGTGTAAGAAAATCAGTAGGTTGATATTTTTGGTGTAATTTAATGTGA